ATAAAATAAACAACCAAGGTAAACAATATCATATGTATATTTTATATATTGTTTTTATTTAAAAAAAAATAAAACATTTTGTTTTAAAAACGTTGGCTTTTTTAAGGGACTTAAGTATTGTTGTTTTAAAACCAAAATGCTGCATGCATCTATTTTATTCAATATGTTGCAAAAAATAATTTACATTAACAATTGTGTATATTTGTGGTTCTTTTTTTTTTATAAATACAGGAAATTATTTCTAAACTGTCTGTGTTTATTTAGGCAGTGATGATAAATACTAACACAGAACATAATGCAACCAGTGTATTCAAGTAAATTTAAGCAATTTAAAAATTGCTGTTGAGAAAAAAAAATAGAAAACTGGCAACCCTGCTGCAATAATTTTACTCTCAATAAAAAAATGATTAACACAAATTACTGTAATTCACTGGATTATTTTAGTAGCATATTCTAAAATGGATTATGGAAGTCTTATTGTACAATGTACAGTAAAAGGTGGGCCACCCTGCTGCCAGTACTTGACTTTTAATTTACTAGATACTATTTTGTACTGTGTGGACATTCATCAGGGAGGGAATGACTCTTCTGCTAATGATGGTTAACATTTTGCTTTTTCCATGAGACCAAGAAAAAAGGGGAGAATACTTGAAGGCTTAACTCATTCTGCCTTTAAAACAAATTCTCTTTCTGCTACTTGTACTACAAATAATACATAAAGTTGCAGGGAAACACTGCACTTCAATAAGTATTATCATTTAAAGAAAAGGCTACATATGGCTCACCTCTTTGTGGTCCACAGTGGTGAAGTCCACTTCGTTCACCTCCACAATCTGGTCTCCCATCTGTAGTTGATACAAGCTTTAAGTGAAGTTCACTGACTGCAGGTTTATGAGTGTAAACATTCTGAAGATATTTTGTGGCTTTTGGAAGAAATCACCTCCAGCCCCACTTCTGCAGAGAGGGAGCCAGGCTTCACGTTGCTGATGTAGATTCCAGGTTTCTGGGTTGGACCGCTCGATATGCTGATGCCCATCCCCTTGGTACCCACAAGACTGAGGAACACCTTCTTCTCCTTGATCTCCTTCCCACCAATGGATGCCAAGCCAGCCACACTGCTTCTCTTATCCTAAAGAAGCACAAAGATCAAGAGTGAATGAGCAAAAGGAAAGTAAAATAAAAAAACAACAAGGAAAGTGAAGAGATCTTACCCCTGACTCAGACACAAACTGATCCACAAACTGCCACTTCAGAGGTTCATCAGATGAGCTGCATTAACGAGAAAAACAAATTAAGCTGCAATATATGCTCAATAGAAATGCAACAACAAAAAAGTATTTTCTGCTAAAGTACAGTGTGGATGCTGAATGACTGCAGAAA